TCCTATCCTTGCGTGGACAAGCCAGTAACGGGTGTTCCTTGGGGTGGGGTGACACCATGCTCAAGGTGTCAGCTGACACGCTCTCCATGTATGGATTCTGCACACAGGACAGCAGAGATGACCACATTTAACACCTTTATTTATCACTGCACCAGCTGGACAGAAGACACCAAGCACAGCGAAAATGGTGATCAACGTGGGCTGGGCAGGTGTAGGGCAGGGCCCCCACAGTCAGTCGCTCACCTGACAGGCAGCCCTGCACTCAGGCCTCCAGGACACAGGGCAAAAGAGCGGAACCCACAGACCTTCCCGACCCAAACCTTGGAGCAAACTAGTGGACACCTCCCACAAGCCTGAGCATGCTAGCTCCTTTGTTGGCAGGGTTATGAGCCCCCCTCAACTGCTGCACCCCACTAGAGATGCTGGGCAGACTCCAGAGTTGGACGTTTGGTGCTGAGACCCTTCAGTTCAGGGCTCAGGCCTGTGTTGCTGGCAGGGCCAGGCATTCGTCCCGCAGGGCAGCGGGCAGGTGCTCCAGCTCCATGCTCACCTCTGCCCTCAGTGTGGACGGCCAGCACTGACCTGGCGTGGTTGCAGCCCATGGGTCCCTCCATGGCTGTGAAAGAGTGGGGGTACTTCCTGGGTCTGTGGGGGCCCCTCCATAGCCATGGAGGAATAGGAGTACTACCAGAGCTTATGTGGGACCATCGTTGTCCATAGAGGAGTAGGGGCACTTCTTGGGTCTGTGGACTGCCTCCATGGCTGTGGAGGGGTGGGGGTACTTCCTGGGTCTGTAGGGGCCCCTCCATGGCTGTGGAGGGGTGGGGGTACTACCAGAGCCTATGGGGGACCCTCCATGGCCATGGAGGACTGGGGGTACTTCCTGGCCCCATGGGGAAGATTCTTGGTAGCTGGGAGCAGTTGGCACTTCCTGAGTCTGTGGGTACTTCCTGAGCCTGGGGGGCTCTACAAGTGGGGAGTGGCCACTTCCTGGGCCATGGGGGCTGAGCCTCCTGGAATGCAGGAGGAGAGCAGAGGAGAGAGAGGGGTACCGGCTCGTGGAGGTGAGGCAAAGGCGCCCCCCGCTCTCCACGTTTTGCCATCAGCCCCACACTAAGACAAGCTAAAACATACGAAAATACTCCAGTATAAATATATATCTCTGTTCTACCATGTCCAACTCTGCTAGCTGCGCTGGGTCACTGGCCTTGCAGGTCAGAGGGAGTGACTGGTGTGGACAGTGCCCCATCCTCTGACCCACAGGCTCTACCTGCCCCGAACACCAGCCAGGAGTGTCCACAGGTGGGTGAGCAGAAGCAGTCGAGTTAGAGGAGGTGCAGACAGAGCTGCTTAACCCTGGGGACAATGGCCCTGGAGACAGGAGTCCTGGGGACAGTGTAGTGCAGGACATGAATGCCCTCTGGGCTTGTGTGGATGCAGCAGGGCTCCGCCATGGGCAGGTACGGATGTAGGGATCAGATGGCAAGCAGGGGTGGCCTGGGGGACAGAGGTACAGGGTGACCAGGTCCTTGGCCTTGCTCCTTCCTTCCAGGCGGGTTGTGAGCTGCCCGCACCCAGGGGTGGCTAAGCTGGGGCCACAGCTCTCCATCTGGGCAGCACTCCCACTGGCAGTGTTGGGGTGGCTCTGGCCAGTGTCTGGACACGGCCCTGGAGCCTGGCGGGCTCTGCATTGTCGCGGCCGAGGTCCCTGGATGCGTGTGTCCTTCTTGTGACCCAGGCCCCGGCGTTGGTGTCCTGGTGCCAGTGGGCAGAGGCCTCTGACTCCAGATCAGGACGTGGACGTCCCAACAGTGATGGAGCCTGAGGCCAGAGCTCGGGCAGGGCTGGGGCCTGGGCCTGCGGGGCTGGGGTGCACCTCACACCTGTCCTTGGAGGACTGTGGGACTGCGGGTGGAAGGGGGAGGGGTTAGCAGGGGCTGGCAGCATCAGGCTCATGGTGCGGGACTGGCACTCGCCAGCCAGCCTCTCCCAGTCACATCATTTCCTGTTGCAACGGACACTCTGACCCCTCAATGGGCAGAATGCAATGTCCAGACTCAGGTCACCTCCACTGTGGGCCCTGCGTCTGCCATGTGCTCGCTGTCCCTGCTGCCTCCAAGGACCGCTCTCCGTGCAGGCCGGTCCACGTGTGCATGCACCTGGTGGCCTTGCCCGTGGGCAGCGGAGCTGTGTGGGTCCAGCCTAGTCACTGGCCCTACCATCCCTCACGTCACTCATGCAGGTGACTCGACTTTAAATGTGCTCTCTGTTAGTGGGTTAGCATCATCGCCCTGGACCTGGCAGGATGACCGGGTCAGGGAGTCAGTGTCCTCCGTGTTGGGCCCGGCAGGATGACCGGGCCCACGGGCTGCCCAGCCCGCCAGCAGAAGCTGATGACCCTGTGAGGGGCTTATGGACAAGCTAGACTGGGACGAGGAGGTTTAGTAGGAAGAGGTGAGTCCCATGCGAACCCGGCCCCTGGCCCCCTCCCTAGTGCCCGCACCCAGCTCCACCCAGCACCCAGGAATGTCACGAAGTGGGTAGGTCTGCGCCACGAGGGCATCACTTGCCGCCCTGCACCTTCTGGTCGTAGGTGCCCGCGTGCTTGTAGCCCGACACGTAGCCCGACTCGTCCAGCAGGTCCACACGGCCTGCCTTGCCCCTGCCTTTGCCCGACGGGTCGAAGCGCTCCTTGTGGGAGCCGGTGAAGCGGGTGGTGTCTGTGAGCCGGGACACAGTGGGGGACGACACGGCTTTCTGGGAAGGGCAGAAGATGCTAAGAGATGGTCCTCAAACCTTGTCCTGATGGTTCAGAGACCCCCACCCTCAGCTAGCACCTCCCTCCTGCCTGCTTACCTCACCTGGCTGCACCCAGCCATACCCGGGGGCTCCCCAGCTTCACCTGGGCTTCCCCGCCTCTCCTGGACCTCCCCCAGACCATGCCCGCTGACACAGGCTCCACCCCCTGTTGGAGGAGCGAGGTCAGTCTGGGCTACCTTCGGTTGGGCCCAGGGCTGGCCGGGCATCGCTCACCGTAACCCCCGAGATGATAGGCACTTTGCCCTCGATCAGCCGGTGCACCTCACGCAGAGCCTCCTCGTCGCTCTTGTCCTTGAAGCGCTTCTTGGCCAGCTCCCGGAGGGCCTCCTGGAACTGCTCGAATGTGATGGTCCGGCAGGACTTGCCTCTGCGGACAAGGGGGGCTCAGGACTCACGGGAAACACTGCCCAGATTGCTCCCACCTCCCCCAAGCCCACACCAGGGTCCCAACGTCCCCTGGGTCCCACCCCCGGCCCTGCCCCAACCCCAGCACCACCAGCCTGCCTCAGAATTCAGCAGAGACCCCACGGGCCAGGCTGCACTCCAGGTGGGGGTGTGGGGTCCCCACCACCAGGGGACACCCACAAGGACCCCATGTGTAGTGTAAGGCACCCTGGCCTCCCTCTCCGGGGGTGGCCCAGTTCCTGGCTCCCCCACATGCCCCGCTGGGGAAGCTGGACCATGGCCTTGGCCACAGCAGAGGTGTCTGTCCCATGTCCCCACCAGACCCCAACTCTGCCTGCCCAAGCGTGGGCTTTCCCACCCGGGACCGGCCTGCAGCCTCCGAGTAACCAATGGGCCCTGGCGAGTGATGGGCACCAAGCCATGTGCCCTCAGCTTCCCTACCCCACAGTAATGTGACAACGGGGAAACCTGGCATCTGGCCTAGTCCTGGGGACATCCGTGGAGCACCACACTCAGAGCGACCTTTCCTTCCTGGGGAAACTGCCGCCACAGCTGTGCTCATCAGGACGGCACCTGGACCTCCTCTCAGCCCGTCATGGGCACCTGGTACCCACTCTGGAGTTCTTGTCCTCTGGACATAGCTACAGAGGTGACAGGAAGAACCCAGTGTCCTGCTCCTCAAACGAGTCCCTAAAGTCCACAGGAAACACACACATTGCTCAGGGTCTGTCGGGAGGTGGTCCCTCCAACTACACAGCCATCCCGGAGGAGACAAGCCGTCTTTCTCTGCAGCACCTGGTGGGCTCAAAACATAGAAACCTGCCTCTTGTCAGCAGTCTGACCTACTGAGAAATCCCACCCTGTGTGAACAGACCACAGTGTGGCCATGAGCGGAGGACACACAGTCCACATGGGTACACTAAGTGGGACAGGTCCACGGCAGATATGCACAAATACCCACAGGTGTGCACCAACACACATGGGTGTACACAGCATGAACACACAAGCGTCCACTATGAGTACAAACACGTACACAGAAGCATGCACACGCACACACACACACACACACACACACACGTGCACTAGTGTGCATACAAACACACGGGTTTACAGTACACACACAGAGGCATGTACACACACGTGCACCAGCATACATACAAATGCACTGGCTTATAATACGCACACAGACACATGCACGCACACACACACACGTGCGTGCACCAGCATGCATGCAAACGCATGGGTTTACAATACACATGCACACAGATGCATGCACACACACAGATGCGTGCAACAGCATGTGTACAAACGCACGGGTTTACAAGGATATACACACACGTGTACAAAGCATGAACACAGGTGTGCACCAACATGGAGACATGCTAGGTGTGCACAAGCGTGAATACACATGCACAGAGGCATGCACACACACGGGTGTACACGTGTGCAGATATCCACAGCATGAATACACTTGGACACACACAAATGTTCACAAGGATGCATGCACAAGTACAGGTGTGTGCCAGCGTTGAACAGTGTGACCTCACCCTGGTGAGGCTGATACTGATACCGGGTCAAACTGTGACCACCCTCCCAACACCTGCCCTCTTTCCTCCTGCAACCTCATCCCTCTTCAAGCCCTGGCTGTGCCCATGTCCCGCAGGCCCCTGCCCTCCCACAGCCCCGCCC